TAGTTAGCAAATTGTAAGGTTGTGCACCCTACGCTATGAATTTCAATAAAAAATATATTTTATAAGATATTCTTTAACTCACTTTATAAATAAAAATAACTCTTAACTAAACTTTGAATATAATTATTGTAAAATAGTGAGTTATTTCATTCTATTATTGAGGTATATTTAATTTCAATATTTTAACTAAGAAAGTGTATACAATGTTCCAATTTATTACTTTTTGCAAATTCCACCTTTTCATCGCGATTATTAATTCATATTAAAATTATTTAAATTAAAATTTATAAATTATTATAAATTAAAATGAACGATTATAAATTCCCGAATATCTCTTCATAGTGTGCTCTTGCATACCTGCCAACTTTTACGCATTTGGCGTAAAATTTTATTTTTATACTTAAAGTGGTAGTAAATATATACTTTTTTTCATTTATAAACTTAATTTTTAAATGATTTCGATAACCACTATACTTAAAAAAATTAAGCATATATATTGATATGTGTTGCTATCATGGTTGTCAGCTTAAGCTTTTTCAAATACAACGTATTTTCTGAGTTGAAATTTAAATTTTAATTCCATTTTAATACCACTGGAAAAAATCATAATGGAAGGGATTAAAAGTTGGCAGGTATGCTCTTGTCTCATGTTATAATTTTAAAAAAATTGTGTTATGTGCAAGATAGCGAGCATTTAAAATTCTTGCAGGGGCGTACCTAAGTTTATGTACGCCACTGAGAAACAACCTAAACCTGTACTAATACCATGCACGCAATTGTATTTTATTTTGAAGGTGTGTTTATATACAATTAAATTAAAATTATTTAAGCAAAACAACCTGAAATATAAACGTCCTTCTTACCCCTCAGTGAGCCGCGGTAGAATTATAAAAGTTGGCTGGGCCGCGGCTATAAAAGTGTTCGGGAGCATTGCTTCATCTCCTACAGTTTGATGATTTGATTAAGAGCTTAACGCGGAGCTTCGATGGATCAGGGGATCGAGCGTTCGCCTTCCAATGAGGTGAACCGGGTACGAATCCCTGCAATGGTTGGTCGATACGAATCCGCATCCGGCTTGCACCGACCACAGTGCTGACGTGAAATATTCTCAGTGGTAGACGGATCGTGGGTTAGAGTCTCTTTGCCGTCAGGCTAACCGTGGAAGTTTCTCGTGGTCTTCCTCTCCATGTAACGCAAACGCGGGTTAGTTCCATCAAAAAGAAATCCTCCACGAAGGCAAAATTTCTCCCAATACTTGATCCAGAAGTTCCCTTGTCTTCTGGATTGGACTCAAAATTACAAGGCTACGGAGTTGAACATTAGCAGTCGTAAACCCTAAAAATTAGGTCGGCTGTTTGTAAAAGAGCTTAATGCGCAATCAGCTTCATATACAAATTTTAGTTAGCAAATCGTAGATTGTGAACTTATCCAAATTTGTTATACCTTTAATTGTAAATGCTATCTTCAAATAAAAATTTCCGAACAAAACAATTTATATTAACCCTTTCTAAAACCGTGGTAAGTATATTTACCACCAATTTATAAAGACTGTGGTGAATTTTTTTTTGCCACTTTTAATTTAGGTTTCCATTCGCTAATAACTTCAACTTTCCTGAAGAGCGTTTGAATAAAATTGGCAGCCATTTGTTAGTTTAAGAAAACGTATAAAAGTTAGAAAATGCATAATTCCTCTTGAAGATAGTAGCATTTATAAAATTTATTTCGTAAATAAAAGAAAAATAAAAGTCAATAAGTTCCTAATAGGTCGTGTTAAATATACTTACCACCAAAAAAAAATTCATTTTTATAAACTAATTGAGTTTTTTTTTTCTTATATCAATTACTATTCTTATAACAATTTCAATTCCAAGAGTACTTTAATTTACCTTTACTAGAAATAAGTGATCTAAAAGATCTTAATAGAATCATTTGGTAAATAATGGGAGTTGGGAAGTTGGGACATAAGCGTAAACAATTTTTTTCAGTATATATAAGTAAATAATTTCAACTTCCGTTGAAAACTTTGCTAAGAGACAACAATTATTGAGAAGCAATCATCGGGGTTGGTGAGCGGCTGCGAACAGGTGGCCTAACTGCATACATATTAAACGATACCCCATCTCAGAATAAATTTAAAACAATTTTGAATATGTTTCTAAAAATACTTTCCGTTTCCTATTCAACCCTGAAAGAGTTATTTTCCAATTATGCGCGAATAATTTTTTTTCATTCGATCCCTTATTATTCCATCATAAAACATGTCATCAATATCTTTCCCCCTTTAATGGACAAAAACATATAATTTTGTTTTGGACAACACGATCAAGCATTAATAAGAATAAAGAAGAGAAAAAAAAATCGATTATCAACTCTTTGAATTATAACTTTGTAACTTAAGCTACTCAAAAGAATTCGCAAACGATTCATTTCCCTTTATTGATATTTAAGAAATATTTTTAAGTTAAAAGCAAATCAGTTCGCAATTCGAAACTAAAAAACATCCTTAAAGTTTTCAAAAAAATATTTAGAGCAATTCAAAATAGTTGGTGGAACATAAAAGTTATAAATGCTCCGCTAGAAGCTTTTATTCTTGAAACTGAGTTTATCTGATCTTGAACATATCCACTCAAAAGAACTCTCAAACGATTCATTTCCTTTTATTGATATTTCAAAAATAATTTTTTTTGTTTTTGTTTATTGCAAATCATTCGAAACTAAAAAAATATCCCTAAAGTTTATAAAAATTATTGAGAAGAATTCAAAATAGTTGGTGGGACATAAAGTTATGAATGCTGCGCAAGAAGCTTTTATTCTTGAAACTGAGAAAATCTGATCTAGAACTTAGCGACTCAAAAGAACTCTCAAACGATTAATTTCCTTTTATTAATATTTCAAAAATATTTTTTTTTGTTTAAGGCAGGCAAATCATTCGAAACTAAAAAATATCCCTAAAGTTTTCAAAAAATATTGAGAAGAATTCAAAATAGTTGGTGAGACATAAAGTTATGAATGCTCCGCAAGAGCTTGTTTTCTTGAAACTTTAAAATAACGAAGTCTTCAAATAAAAAATAAAATAATTGAAATCTTCGTTACTTAAAAACATCTTCTTTATTGCTTTATTTTATTTTTAAAAATAGAATAATTCGAAATAGTTTGGTCGGGCATAAAGTTATGGATGCCCCGTTTGCCGCTAGGAGTGCTTTGGTGCACCCTCCCCCCTTCCCAATTTGGCAACACACACACAAAAATATTCCAACTAACCTTTTTGTAAACGATGAAATTCGGGCCTTCTTCTGGTGAGGGCGTCGCATTGTTATCATTTGTGCCCCTGACGCTTTTTTTGTTGTGTTTGTTCTTTTTTGTCGCCGTACCCTCTTCGCTGTGCATGGCTGACTGGGATATGTGCACTCACAGAGAGAGAGAGAGAGTCGAGAGATTCTTCAGACTCTGGGCCGAAAGCAGGGGCGGCGCCAGTTTGTATCCTCTGTGTTGTCGCGATCGAAGTGCCGCCACAGCAGAAGGTCGATCGAAACAAGAAGGGGGGAAAAAAAGAAAGAGAAAAAATTTTTGTTTCGTCGGATTACAGGAAGATAAAGGAAGGATAATTGCAGGATACTTTCTAAATGAGTGACAAGAAGTTTTTCAGGAATATTAATGGGAAAAATTCCGATTCCGGTTAGTAAAAATCTATAGGTTAGAAGAATTAAAGAAAACAATGATCTCAAGAAAATAATTTAGATAAGTATTTATAATTATGTGAACAAAAATATTGCTCAAGGAATTAGATGACCAATATTTAGGTTACTAGGAGGCTCCTCCCCCCTGCTTGCACTGCTCACCTACCCGTTGTGGAGAGGTAGGTGAGCAGAGCAAGCAGGGGGAATTGATATATCACTTTTATTCCATTCAATTATTTTAAAAAAAAGTAAGTTGCAGGTAAGATGATGACTTAATTTTTTTAATATCACCTTAATCGAATAAAAAATAATTTGGTAATTGGCAAATTTTGTAAAATATCGAATAGAGAAGAAAAAAAATTCCATCGCACTTTAAAAACGAAAATATACAGTTTCAGTGGTTAGAAAAAAATTATAAATATGAAATATGTTTTAAAAATTACTTATTTTAAAATAAGACAAAGACTTGCACACATTACAATTCAAAATGTTTCGATTATTATTAAATTAAATACTTATTAAAAACTATTTTAAGCAGGGAATTATCGTTAAAAAAAAGTTTTATTATCCTATTAAAATATTTTAATTCGCCGTAATAATTTCAGAGAAAGGACGAAAAGCGCGAAAAGTAATATAAGCATTCAGAAATTAAAAATTCCTTCGAATTTTTAACTTCCTGACTGCACACTTTCTGGAATGCGACTCCTCTATAATTTTAGTGACAAGAATTCAAATATTTTTACAGAAATATTAAGGGGACCGGAAAGTAATGTCGTTTCGGCGCATTAAATATTCGTTATTAAAACCAATTCATTTTTTTTTTCTCAATCCATTTTCGATCCGGCATTGAAAGGTTGTTGCTAAAGAGGGTGAATACATTATTGATAAAAAATAAAATCTTGATTACAAATATCAAATGCACCTAAACGACATTACTTTTCGGTCCACCTAATAAATGTTCATTCAAAAAAAGTGCATTTTTGTGTCTGATTTCGTAACTTAAAACTCATCTTCTAAAATTAATTATGAATAAAAAATTTGCAGAAATTATTTAAAGCTAATTTCTTTATTGAGTTTTAGAAAAAGATCAGTAAATAAGTAGGTAACGACAAAGTAAACGTGAATTTATGTCGAATTGTGCCAGACAATAAATAAAATAAATCTAGCATATGAAGAGATGAAGTAAAAAATGATTATTTTAAATTTGCTTTTGATAATTTAATGTTTGAATTAATCTTTTTTTTTCTGGTAGCATTCAAAGGATTTGAAATAGCCTATCCACCAATTTAATAGACCCGTAATTTCTATCGGCGTAATGTTTTTAATCTTTTCTTTTGTAATCATAAAAGGGTTTCCGCACCGCACAATGCTCGTTAACCCCAAAAATGTCGCCCCACTTCCTTTCGAGCATGCTTTTCACCTATGCTTTATTTTATACCCCTATTTTTATACTTTGATATTTTCTTTTATAGTTCATTATATTAAACAGGGTGGGCAGCCAAATTATTCAACAAAAAATAAGCACCTTTTAAGCACTCAAAAAATATTTTCAAGCACTTTTAAAAAAAATATCATAATTAGACAGGGTTGAAAAGTTTTTTCACAATTGACGGTTTTACCTTGTTTTAACTGTCATATCAAAGAAAAAAAAATCTTTCGGCGTTGTTTTGAAATTTTGAATCACGTAAAACGAATTTCGTTTTCATACGCTACGGACTGACAAATATGCCGAAATAGATTGGGGTTGAATTAGTTGTGAAAACGTTGAATAGAACAATGTGGACTGTGTCTTTTTGCGTAATTCGAAGTTAAAATCAACATGGTAAAGGGAAAATCTCATATTGAAAAAGGGAAAATTAAGCACTTTTTAAAAACATCCAATTAAAAAAGACCTTTAAGGGCTTTTAAAAAACGAAAATAAGCACCTTTAAGCACTTTTTAAAAATGTTACGCACCCTGACTAAAGACTACTCTCGGCTTTTTTTTATTGTTTACCAATCCTTAGAACTTTTTTTATTTTATTACATCAAATAAATTGGAAATCTAAACAAAATAAAACGTATTGTGAATAATCTCATTGTGTTTTTTAAATAAAATAAGAGAAAATGAATTTTCGTAAATTTGCCGAATGGCTAAGCAAAATTCGCCTAATATTAAAAATCTATGGGAGGTCTAAGCGACCACCCAACGCGGGGCCTCTACGTATATAACTAATTATTTAATGCTACTTTTATTATTACTTAACCTTTAATGTACCGTCGGCACATTCAAGTTCTACTAATATTAGCATTGCCGGTTTGCACCGACCACAGTACTGACGTGAAATATCCTCAGTGGTCGACGAATCATGGGTTAGAGTATCTCCTTGCCGTGAGGCTAACCGTGGTAGGTTCTCGAGGTTTTCCTCTCCATTGTAACGCAAATGCTGGTTAGTTCCATGAAAAAGTATTCCACGAAGGCAAATTTCTCCTAATACTTGATCCAGGAGTTCTCTTGTCTTGTCGATTGGGTTCAAAATTACAAGGCTACGTTGTTGAACATTAGTAGTCGTAAGCCCAAAAATTGGGTCGGTTGTTCAACGACAGTTAAAAAAGAAAATATTAGCATTGAAACGGAGCAAATAATCTAATCGGAATCTTATCAATCCCTGTATTATGATTTTCTGTTTATCATTACTAGCTGACAACACACGATTATTTGAAGTCTAAAATCATCTACTGAATTATTCACTTTTTGATATTTCGCTCGAGGACGCCATTTTATGATTCTTCAATTTAATTCCTCAATTCTCAGCTTATCTCGATCAATTTTGGAAGCAAGTTTTTTATAATTTTTTTTATTGATTCATTAACATTTTCAACTAGTTATAAAACAATGTATTAAATGTTTTAACTTCAATTAAAATTTGATAATGTGGTGTAAGATCCAAGTTAAAAGCTTAGTGAAAAATTCGAAAATAATATTGAATATTGGAAATGTATTTGTCAAAGAGTAAAATAGATTCAACCAGACAAAAAGGTTTCGCACATTTTTGAAATTTTTTAATTAATTTGATTTTTTTAAGGGTTAAGACAATCAAACAAAATGAATTATTATAGAGCACTATACTGTTGCCAATTTAGATCCGGTCATCCGGTTTTCGGTGCCACTTAAGAGAAATAAGTAAATAGATTATTGAAAAAGAATAATGAATAAGTATAAAAAAAAATTTATACATAGAATTATCCTTAGAAAAAAGAGTTTCACAAGTAGATAATAAAAGAGTTTTACAACTGACGGCAAAAACATTTGAGATTCGCTTAATGTTCATTATGGCAAAATACACAAAACGTTAAATTAACATGAAGAGGTCCACATTTTCGACAGCTCTCCTGACAAATTATTTGGGCCCTATTTTCCAGATTGAGGCTGATTCAATTCGAATTCCTGGAGGGGAAAAAAAGCGCTTTTTTGTGCCTCTAAATCTTTGCAATTTATATATCGTCTGCACTAGTTAATTAGCATATTTAAGGATAAAAAAAAAAAAGCGTTCTTTGATCGCCGAAATTTATATATCGTCTGCACTAGTTTATTGAAGGTTAGACCTTCAAACCATTACAATCGCATCTTAGTTGGTAAAAATCTAACCATTGAATTAAAAGTTATTAAAGTGTCCGATTTTTTATTTTGTGCATCGTACATAAAAATAGAAACATATAATTTGAAAATTTTCTTAGTAATACTTTTTCGGAATTCGGGAATTTCATTAAATCGGAGTTGAGCTGTCCAGAAAGTCCTAAGTCATACATTTCAATTACCAACTCCATAGCCCCAATCCTACGAGAAAATAATGGTCAGGGATTTATCTTTAAGAATAAAAACCAAAGACATCCACAATTTATGTCAGATAATAGATGGTTTTAGCAATCAATCAATCCCCCCCCCAAGCTTTTCGACTCTGAAAACCGCTAGGGACGTTCTATTAGAGTAAGATACAAAGCACTTACTTTAAAAAAAAAAAAAATTTATTGCTTTAAATCAACTATAATTTTCAAAATAAAAATAATTAATTTGAAGTCAATGATTTTGTTTTTAAAAAATAATGAAGTCATAAATATTTTACATGCAATATAAACTTGCAAATATAATGTTTTAGGTTATGATACTTTTTTTCCTTTCTGATTCTGAATTCACTGATGATGAAAGTTTTATCAAAATAAAAAACAAAAGAAGCATGTCAGTAAAACATTAAAAAAAAAAAGCTTCTCTATTTGTTGAAAGAAGAAAACTTATAAAAGCATCAGATCCAGAGTTGATGAAAAAATCCCAGTTCTGTCTCTACCTGTATAAGAGTTTTGAAAAATTTTTTTTTTGTGTGTGTGGTTTAAATCAAGTTTTTTCCCGGTTAATTTAGAACAAAATGTTAAACAACAATTTACGCTCTAAATTAAAAGTATTTTAACTATTATAAGGTATAATCATGAGGAATTTTTTCAACTATTAATTAATACATTATCAATAAACAATTAAAAAATATCAACTTTCTTTCCGTAAACATGCTAACATAATAAAAAAAAGAACAGCTGGAGATTTTGACGATGCTTATACACTCATTATTTTACATTTCATCTTAACATGTAGCACAGTTCCCACTCAATTTCAGAATAAAAAATTTAAAAAAAACAATTCCCTAACTTTTTCAGGTACATTAAGGAAGTTTCAATGAAAATTCAAACTATATTTTATCAATACCACGCAGAAAACTTTTATTTTTTATTTTATTTGTAATATCAACTATATTAGATTTTGTGAGCAAAAAAATATTTTTAAATGAGGATGGAAGCGTGAATAAGTTTCAATAATATGTGAAATTTTTATAACAAATATTTGTAATGGATGTTAGAATTATTTAACTCAAACGTCAATAACACTGACTACTGTTATTGACAATTCTAAGACTATTTAAATAAAAAAAGTTTGTATGTTTATATCTATAAACAAGAATAAACCAGAAAAATTAAAATCAAAAAATACATTTTTTTTAACAATTTATATTTGAGTGTTACTTAATTATTTAGTAGCATTACCTGTTTGAATACTAAAGTAAACAATAAGCAGAGTAAAGAAAAAAGATAGAGATTTTTCAGGAATTTTTCCATTTTTAGAGATTTTCTAAAACATACAGATAGGTATTATGAAATGAAGTATTTTATATGGATATAACCAATTATAGCTAATATGAAGCAAATATTTTCCATTAATTGCACATAGTTCTTAAAGAAAATGTAGGAAATCTAAAAAAAATTATATTCATTATCTATAACTGTTGCATTCTATCTTAATTAACTGCATGTGAAAAGATTAATTTCATTTCTTATTACCACGCCTGAGATAATAACAAAATTCTTATGTAAATATATATACATATACACCGAAGAGCCATTACATTATGACCACCCTGCTAATAACATGTAGGACATTTAGACCTCAAAACTGCTAGCACCCGCCGTAGCATTGATTCCACAAGGTGCTGATAGCGTAGTCTGAGGTATCTGGTACCAAGCGCTCACGAACTGGTCCTGCAATTCCCTCACATTGCAAGGGGGTAGCGTGGCAGCACTAATTTGGTTTTCCAAGTAGGACCACAAATGCTCTATTGGATTAAGGTCAGGTGAATTTGGGGGCCAAGACATGACTTGAAAGTCACTGGAATGTTCCTCGAACCAATCCATGACGATTCGACCCTTATGACATGGTGCATTATCCTGTTGGTAAACACCATCCCCCGCAGGAAAAACTGTTGCCATGAATGGGTGAACCTGGTCTGCAACTATGTTCAAGTAGCTTACAGACGTCAGGGATTGTTCTATGAGGATTATGGGTCCTAATGTGTCCCATGAAAACATTGTTCCTGGGCGAGAAACCATGAGAACCTGGGCGAGCCCACAGTTATAGATGGAGGGTGGTCATAATGTAATGGCTCTTCGGTGTATATTTTAAGGTAGAGTAGTTTTTTTTTTATATCACTAAAAGACATACTACTCATTTATATTATCAACACCATTTCAAAAATACAAAGCTACTTCATAAAGTAATATTCAACTATGGATTGAGTATATTAGAACTTAACAATTATTAAAATTAAAAATATTAAATTTTGACATAAATTAATTTATTTTTTACTTTGATTTAGCATTCTTTTTGAAAGAATTAAAGTGACTTTTACCCTAATATAAATAAAAATTTATAATTAAAATGTTATATTTTAGTAATGTGTAAAATAATGAGTACCACTTTGTTTGTTAGTATATATGAAAAATCTCCTACTTTAGAATTATTTACTGTCATTAATTAACTGCTGTTTCAACTTAGTAAAATGATAATGTTTTCTTCCTGAATTGAATTAATACAAACTTTAAGGTGAACATAAAATTTAAAGTAATATATTTTTCCATTCAAAAATATTATAATGATAAAAATTACAAAAATCGTTAAGCTGACTAGATACTTATGTGTATATAAAATATTAAAGGTATATTTTACTACTAATGATTTAATGATAAACAAGGAAAATAAAACTTTTTTGGTCATTTGTTTAACACAATGAAGCTTTAAGCATAGCAATATGTTAACAATGCAGCATTAAATAAAATAATATACGTTGATTAAATTTTAAATGAATTAATATTTTTCAATTATGATTTTTTATATAAACACTGTAATTTGGAAACATTGGAATCAATTTAAACATACTACGTACAATAATTGTTTACGCTGATAACAGTAAAAATCTTAAAGTAAACTAAAAAATAAAATTCTGAAAAGCAATTCCTTGTCATTTATCCTTTTGATAGCAGCAAGCATAATGCATACAGAAACTTTTGATTTTAACTTGATCTATAATTATATTTTTTCAATTATTTTAAAAAGTATCTGAGCTCTATTATTTCATTATTTATTGCTTTTCTTTAAATACATTATGACTTAACTTAAAATTAACTCACATTCATTATTTTTTAGAAGAGCAATAATATATAAATTTTTAAAAATTATGTATCACATTTATTTCTTTAAAGTGACACAGACTCACATTAGCATTTTAACTCAAGATGAAAGTTTTTAAGGGAAATTTATTATTTTCTTCTTCTGTAATATGCACTTATGTAAGTAATTTAAAAGGGTTTTTTTTCCCTAAAAAAAAATCAATTTTTTTTTTAGATAAATAAACTGCTTGGTTAAAATTGTGGTTTAAATCACATTCATCTAATCCAGCCACCCCTGACTCGTAGCATTCAGTTAAAAAAAGAGTTTAATTTTAAAACACCTTATTAGATTAGTGGCTTATAAAACCAACAATTCTGATAGCAGCTTATAAATTAGTTTCTTTAAATTGTTCCAGAAGAGATGGCAAAAATAATTTTGAACATATTTATCTAGGCAGTTTTTCAGAAATGTTTCCCATTTTTAAACATAAAATTTTATTAACTCAGTTTAAGTTTCATTTGTGACACATTACATTTTCATGGAAATGGGTCACAAATATTTTACTTTACATAAAACCTTTGCTCAAACATCTTCGCACGAACTACAAACATCCCTAATTGAATTTTGCCATGGACCCTAGGGGTCCATAGGAACCACTGGTTCTATGAACTTAGGGAACCTATGGTTTAAACTAATAAAAGTTGATGAATGATATATTTTTAAAAAAAAATGTAAACTGTAGAAACGAAGATATTTGCCACAAAAAAAGAGAAAAATATAATACTAAGCTATTACAGGGTGCATAGCCAGATTTTTAAACAAAAAATAAGCAACTTTTAAGTATTCAAAACTATTTTTAATCACTCTCCGAAAAAAAAAATCATGATTAGGATCTGTGCAGTAATAAAAATAATTTTTTTCTATTGTTGAAAGTTCCTAAATTATAAACATAAAATCAATAAAATTCAAAAACATTTACACAATCATGATAAAATAAATAATTTCTTGTAAATATTGGAGAGAAAATTGGGGAAATCATGCATTTTTTGTAATTCAGAACGACAACCGACACAGGCAATGAAAAAATATCTTTTTGAAAGATAGAAAATTATGCATTTTTTACAAACCCCGAATTAAAAAAAGCACCTTGAAGGGCTTTTAAAAAACGCAAATAAAAAATAAGCACTTTTTAAAAACACTAGTCTGTGTTACTTTAAAGAAATAAATGTGATGGTAGAATTGTATTAGTATGATTTTATCATAAAAAGAGAACTGGCCTTTTATATCAAATATATATCACAGATTCTATCGAAAATACCCTAGCAGCAAAATAACTTGGCCCCTCACTGGACCAATATTCACAAACCTTGGCTATATGAGGGTTCAAAGGGCCAATATGGGTCCGATATAGAATTGTTCGATTCACTCGATATTTTACAACCAATATCGGCCCTATTTAGATTTGTCAGATTAACCCAATATAAGCCCTATGTAGATCGATATTGACACAGCATAGGACCAACATTATAAAATCTAGTCATCCCAACATTGTTGGCTTGGAGCATGTTCATATAAGATCCATATTGAGCCCAAATGGGGCCAAGGTATAATTGTTGCAGGGTTGGGGTTTTGGACAGGGCATTTGGGTTTTACGGTCTTAAACTGCCCTTAACTGACTAAAATTGTCCAAAACCTTGTACATTGGTAATATACAAGGTAAAATTTCTATATGTCTATCCACTGTACACATAATAATTACATATATTAACAAAATGTTGATACTTTTTATACAATTTGCTTTTAACTTATTAAAGGAAAATATAATAGGAAAAGATTTATAACTTTTGAAGCTCCACAGTTCATTGAAGAACAAAAAGGAATATATTATCCCTTAAATATGCTTTTAATACCGATAAATTATGTTTTTGCATAAGGGTAAATAATGCAATATTAAAAATAACAATAAACTTTTTTAATAAAACCAAAACTTGCCTTCATTTTGTTTCTTGTTCAAAAACTAAAATTTTATTTTTCACAATATTCCTTTTTAAAAATTGTGACATAAATTGAGTGAATAGGTTTTGGACAAGATGGTTTAAACTGCGGATTAATCCATTCTGTCCTAAACCTTGCCACTCTGTGCTAGGGTAGTAAATATCCACCATTTGTTTACTTGTAAAAATTAAACAATAACATTAAGAGTGTATTAAATCACAATTCTTTCAACAATTTAATTCGACTGAAAAGAAGCTTTTTCAAAGAAAAACTCAAGGTTGTATAGATTGTCTACAATAAGAACCTGCCACAAAGTCTGAGGTCGTCTGCTGCTATGGAAACAAGAATAGTGCATTCCAGGCAGGGTAGCAGCTCTTCACTCTACTAGGGCTAACACAATAGAACACAGGAAAAGATTACCTTTCTCTCGCCAACTTGTCCAAATCAGTGACTCACCCCTACTTAAAATAGTTGTATGTCGTTACCATAGTCGCCGCCACGGGTCAAGACGAATGGCTAGGGGTGTTTTATTTTAGACACACTATAAGTCACAATTGTTTTAACAATTGAGTTAAACTGCAAAGAAAAACTCAAAGCTGTAGTGCTCAAACTGTAGAAATTGTGCTAAAAAATTAGGATATTTAATTACCCTTGAAATTTCCAGCAAAAATGACAGGAAATATCTTTTATAGTAAAAATTTAAGGGGAAAAAAATAAACAGTGCAATTACTTAAAACTTTTTATTAAATTTATCTAACAGATAATTTTCAAGAACTGAAAAAATGTCTCTTCAAAATCTGTTTACAGCCATGAATTACTTGTTTACAACTGAAGCTTATTGTGTATAAATTAACATCATCACTTAAAAACAACTGTAGATTCTTAACAGTAAAAATATTTATAATAAAAGCAGATTATGTTTTTGAAATTTTTTTAATAATACATTCAAGTGATAGAATAATTATTAGCAAAAAAAGCATAGAAATACATGCAGTAGAGTATTTAGTAGTTAAAATAATGCAATAAATTATACACAGGAATTTTTATTTTTAAATAGTGAAAAAGACAGAAAATTCTAAATCATTTAATTTTCTTTTTTTAGTTTTTAAAAATTTGCTTATTTTTGTAATTTACAATACAAACTTTAATAGTTTACTACAAAAGATTAAAAATTTCTGGCTCGTATAAATAAAAATACAAAAATCTACAGAATATAGAGGTGACAGTGATATTATAAAAAAAAACATTTGGACATCGAAACATGTTATTTTCATGAAACCAAACATAGAAAAAAAGTGTCAGATTACAAATTTTAATAAAATAAAAATTTTCCAACAACTTCAATTTTTGATCCTTTAACACATTTATTTTATTTAATAAAAAAAATTTCTATCATGTACTAAAATGATTAAAAACTACTAGTTCAAAAAAGTAAAAAATATATTATAGATCTTCTAATCACGAGAGACACAACATAATAAATCATAAACGGGTGTTTTTGAATATTTAGATATTTTAATAATGAAGAAACCTAATAATTCTCAATGATAAATTTTTTTTGAGGATTGCATCACTGATTACTTTAAAGTCACAGCCAGAATGGATAGTTTTAATCAGAAATAAGGAAGAAAAAAAAAAGCAATTTAAAATGGCACTGATTTTGGACAAATCTAGGCCCTTCTTCGCACTGATTTTCTTGGCCTTCACACTCATTCAAATAACATCCACTAAATTAGGAAACCATCGCCTAGATCTATCCCCTGGCACATTTATTCTTTGGCAAAACAATCACATTGTAAACAAGCAAAAAAACAATAAAAGTTTGGGATTAAAGTATGATTATAATTTAATTATTGTAGTTCTGTGATCATATTGAGTTTGGAACAACAAAGTTAGAAAGATTTTTAAAACCATCAAAACATAGAAAATTGTAATAAGTTTATTGTTCAAAACTGATGCTCTCACATAGCATATTTCCGACTCCATTCTTTAGCAAGTTCATTGTACTTTTCTCTGTCAGTCTTGTAGATGCGAGCTATTTCGGGTACTAATGGATCGTCAGGATTCGGATCACATAACAAAGAACAGATCGACAACAGAACTTTCGATATAGTTAAGGCGGGTGACCACTGCGACCGCAAAATGTCCAAGCAAATACTTCCATTACTGTTGATATTGGGATGGTAAATCCTAGTAGTGAAAGCTACTTTTGGCGGTTTAAAGGGATAGTCGGGTGGGAAATGGATTGTAAGAAAGAAAACACCGCCTTGGTATGGACTATCTGGTGGGCCCATAATAGTCGCCTGCCAGTGAAAAAGATCATCTCCAACTGGGCCAGCTGAACATTGAGCCGGAGGATCTCTTTTTAAATCTTCCAATTCCTTTTTTATGCGCTTCAAGGCCATTTTAATAATTATATCAATGAATGATTAATTATATACAACTGCACTTTTTATTTACTAGAATGTGAGTTTTGAATTGCAAGTGAAATTTAATTCATAAAACTCGGAGAAACATTACTTTTTTGAGTGAAACCAGAGATGGATGAAGGGATGAGCTGAGCTAAATTTTGGTCAGTAAGCAGTTTGTTGCCACCTTAACAAAAATCTAAGGAAAATTATTTTCATGAATTATATTCCAGGAAATATTTTTGAATTTCATTGATACCTTCCTTTATTTTTCTTTCAGAAGTCTTATATTTTTATTAAATTTATGTTTCAGGTGAAAGTGCTCATTTCTACGGCATCTGATTAAATTTCAAATTTAAGGTAGGCTACTTTAAACGACTTTAGTGGGAAACAGAAATAATCACTCTAAGGTGATGTGATATTTTTAATAAACAAACAAGCTAGTTGTCATTTTTTACATTTTTACCGAACTGGTATTTTTCGTGGTTAGTTTTTAATCGGAATAAAATTTTTCTTTAATCGCTTGTGAGTTGCTGTGGGTATTATAAGGAACTGAAAGAAAATAAGAGTGTCTAATCTATTAAATTATCACAGTCTTATCACTTTCAAGATAAATCTTGCACAATATTAGGTATCTTTCGATTGAGGTTTCTTTTCAAATAAACTATATTAAAATTTGAATACGCATTTTGGTGTTCTAAATATTGAAGCAGGAGTTGGGATTTCAAGTATTTGTGTAGCTGCTAAATATTATTGTATGTATTTCTATATTTATGATAATTTGTTTAGCTTCTGAATTAGTATAATTGAATAGAGTACTGATTTTGTGTACTACACAAATGGTGGTTTAGAATTAATTCAAAACATTGACTGCAAAATTTTGCATTAATTTCCAATTTACGAATCAGCTCTGACGCAGATAAAATTGCGGTTGTTAATTCAGTTGTTTGTCTTCATTTTCGATTTTTTGAAAGAGATCAAATTAAAAAAAAAAACTATGTATTTTCCCTATTTTAAAAAATTTAGATGTTTGTCGTTTATTTTTCTTCATTTCCTTCCAATAACAATTCTTTCAAAAAGAATGCTGAATCAAAGCAAGAAATAAATTGATTTCTATCAAAATTTTTTGCATGTAATTTTAATAATTGTTAAGTTCTAATATACTCAATCTGCAGTTGAATATTACTTTATGAAGTAGCTTTGTATTTTTAAAATGGTGTTAATAATATAAATTAGTACGTCTTTCAGTGATGTTTAAAAAAAAAATTAATATACTCTCTCTACCTTAAAAATTAAAAAAAAAGAAAATATTTTCATACGATTTCTGCTATTATCTCTGATGTGGCTATAAGAAATGAAATTAACGTTTTCATTCAGTTCTTTAAGATAGAATGTAACAGTTATAAAATTTTTTTTAGAGTTCCTGCATTTTCTTTAAGAACTATGAAAAATTAAAGGAAAATATTTGCTTCATATTGACTACAATTGGTTATACCAATATAAAATACTTAATTTTATAATACCCATATGTATGTTTTAGAAAATCTCTAAAAATGGGAAAGTTCTTGAAAAATCCTCGGGCCGGGCAAGGTTCACTCAGCCTTTCATCCCTTCAGTGGGTCGATAAATGGAGTACCAAGCATGCTTGGGAACTAAACACTGGGGGTTCCGCGTTAGGCTGACACCCTGAACTGGAACTTCTGCTCCTGCACCACAGAGCCCTGTCAAGAAAACTGAGATGGGCGTAGTAGGCCTTGGCCCTCTATGAGCTTTCGTGTCTCTGAGTTTAGTTTTTAATAAGGATTAATTATGCATATCTAGTGTCCCAAGGTGGGCCTCCTCTATCTGTCCCAAGCAGCACTAAATATTTAATAGGATATTTTAGAATATCATACTTTTAGGCTTAGCATTAGAAAAATTAACTTCTAAAGGCAATGTTTTATGCTTCATTATATTACCCATTACTTAAAAAATTTTATTAAAATTTTTATCTACAACTTTTATGTATAAGTAAATAAACATGTTTCAAAAAATAAAAATTCTATTAAATTTTTACCTGTTTAATCAATGGAATCAAAATATGTTCCAAAGTTAGGTGATGCTGACATATATCTGAATCTAAAAGAACTAAAAGATAATTTAAAATTTAAGACCAAAAATAAAAATGTCCCAAGCTGTACTGTGTCCCAGGGTGAGTCACTCTCCCCTACTAAATAATTAAGTGACACTCAAATAAAATTTAAAAAAAATTTTTTTTATTTTATTTTTTTTTTATTTCAATTTTTCTGTTTCATTCTTGTTTATCGATATAAACATACAAACATTATCATTTAAAATTCTAAAATTAACATTTTCATCTCAAGAAGCTAGTTTTAATTTTAATGCAGTAAGTATGATGTGTCTTTAGTAGCTTGGGAAATTGATCAGTCCCACGTTACTAGGACTTATTAATATTTAAATATAGGATTGTCCAGAAGGATGTAAAAACTCACTTTCCAAGGTCAATCCTCTCTTCTCTATCTATCCAAGAGCATGTAAAATTCTCATTTTTGGGCCTCCGTCGCTTACTTTAATAAAATTCTACTATTTCTCCATGTTCCTGTATCTTTTTCATTAAACACTGACCACACTACGAATTTACAACGTTAATGCTTTCTCAGCAAAACATATATTTTTACAAGAATTTTAAGTATCAAAAATTTTCTTCTGTATAATAAAGTGTCTTATGTACTCTAAATAAAACTGATATTTTTAAAATCAAACTTAGGACTCCTATTTAAAAATGATAAGCGCATGTGTAATAGTGAATCTAATTTTTTAAAAACTTATTAAAGCATCTTATTAAAATGAATGAGATGTGTAATTTATTGTCTTTATTTGTAATTTTTTCTAGGACAATGTTTTCTTTGGGGTTGCGCACTTTGCCAGTTTCGATGAATCTCCATATGCTTAACCGTAAGCGTGTTTGCCAGGAACTGAAGAAGCTTAATTTGGGGAAAAGCATTATTGTTCTTGAAGGCGGTGATTCCAAAACGAGATATTGTACAGATCATGAAGAGTTGTTTCGGCAGGTACTAATTTTCATGCAATATCTTTTACTATTGTAATTGATTGCTGTAAAATTAACTATTTTTGACTTAAATAGAACAAACCCATGTCTTCTAATATTATAATTTCATATAATTATTTCAATTGATAACAATATACTTAACCAATCCTTAATCTATTTTAACCTTACCAACCTTAATGTAAATTAGTGAATTGTTAAATTTTCATATAAAATTATTATTTTTTTTTCCAAATTTAAATACTAAATAAATATATACTAAATAAATATTAAAAGAAAGAAAGCTTAAAAATATACTTTGAGTGCTTAAAAAGTCTTTAAAAGTTACTTATTTTATGTTAAAAAATTTGGTTATATGCTCTGTTTACAATTGATCAATTGTTGTATATTGATTATTTTTTAGGAATCTTTTTTTCACTGGGCGTTTGGAGTTTTGGAACCTGGTTGTTTTGGAGCCATAGACGTAAACAGTTTCCGTTCTTATCTCTTTTTCCCTAAACTTCCTGAGAGTTATGCAGTTTGGATGGGAAAGTAATTGCTGTCATTCAACACTTATTTTAAGAGTATTACACCCTGAACATTTAACACAAATTACAGTATTATTACTTACACCAAAATTATTGTCTTTCCTACATTAGAAACCTTTTTTTTCTTCTTTTAAATCAATATTATGTTTGCTATTCAGAATGAGTGATTGAAAAATACTAGTTTTATAATAGTAATTGTAATTAATAATTATTAACATAATAATTTCCTCCCAAAAAATTTCTCTAAGGTATAAAATTTTTAATATGGTTAAAAAAATAATTTACTTAATATCTGTATTCATTAAACGTAACAAGTAAATTTTAAGAATATGCATTGAAATAAAATACAAAAAGGATATTTTAAATTTAACTCAAATTTTTTATTAATAATTCAACCATTTGTTGTATTCCTGAAATAAAATACCTGAGGATTCTCGAAAAGCACACATTTTTTAATCTTTTTTGCATATTATCTAAATAAGAGTGTTATTTTCTTCAAACCATCATCAATCATTTTTGATGTATCGGTGATTTAATAACTTAATTTTACAATTTATTTACTTTCTCAAAAATTGAAAATTTTAAGCCATTAAATTAACTGTTAATATGAATAATATAGGACATTTCTTTTAAAACATTTCTCAAAATATGGTAAATGTTAAATGATTCATTTCTGAAAAGGAATAAAAATGAAAAAGTAATGATGAAGTAAAGGGATTTTTTGTATATTATAAAAATAAAATATTCATAATAATTCGATATTTATTAAAAAAATAATAAAAGGCAAATGGGGTACATTTTTGAGGATAAAGACGGGCAATTTAGGTTGTCGGTCAATTTTTTAATTTTTGATGGTTATATTTAATCACCCTGTGACAACCCTTAATTTTGCCCTATATTTGAAACTATTATTATAATGTAACTCATAAGATAATTTTAAAAATTATTTATTATGTATATTACTGTTGTAATATTGTTTATATTTTACTTTACATCTATACCTTAGGCTACATACTTTGGATCATTTTAAAAATCGATATTCAGTTGATGAAGTCCATTATGTAAATGATGTAAGTTTCTGATTTGTAACAAGTTTAATATTCGTTTTATTTTTATATTAAAGAATTGTCTTTGTGTAACTACTGTATTTTAAAATATTTTTAATTTTATTTTAGATCGCGGCTGTTTTGAAATCTTTGGCACCAGATGTACTCCTTACTCTAGTATGTAGCTATTTTCCTATTTATTTATTTCTGATGCTTTTATTTTTTTGTTAATTGCTAAAGCTAATTATAGTAATAAATTAAAAGAATTGATTTAAAAATTTTGAATTCACTGTAAACCTCTTTACAATAATATTTTGGGTATCAAATAAATATATTATTGTAGAGTGATATATTTCAAAATTGAAGAACTGCATATTTTGGGACCATAATAAGTTTTTTTTTATATATTTATGTTATGTATGTAACATAGATACACAATAGAATTTAGGTGTGAAATTTATGTATGAAATATAAATATAAATCAAATTCATATAAATATTTAAAAAATTATAAAATATATATAAAATACATATTAAAATGTTACAGGATTTTTTTCTTAATAAATTTCTAATCAGAATTAAAAAATATCCTTGGAAAAAACTTGATTTGTTCAAGGCTTATATTCACCGATTTCAGAATATGACAGTGGCTTCTAATAGTACAAAATAATAATACGTGTGATATGTCTCTTTTAAAAAGAATTGTCCTTTTTAGAAAGGTATCAATAGTGATAGTGGAAATGAGACGCATGAAGCTGTATTTGAGGGAATCTCCGAGTAAGTCTTTTTATATGTAATTATTTTTTTACCATTAGTTTCTGGTACCATTTATTACCTCTGTCCATGTATTATATTATAATAATTATGCAAAACTATCTGTAAATCATTGTATAGTTCATGAGTCTTTATGTCTTTAAACTTTGAATTCAACTCACAGTAACTGCTTTTTAATTACACCTGAATGATTATTTATTTCCTATAATCAAAAGTTATCCATTGTTGTTAAATATCTATCTTATACTGGATATATATATATATATATATTGCATATTT